CAGAACAATGGGAATAATATGACATGACACAAGCCACTGAATAGGCTGTATCATTCAGTTGCTGGGTTTAAAGAGTCAAAACTGGGAAAGCAAGATTCTGGAAGCCTAAGAAGGAAATATGTACAGCATTAAGCTCTTTATACTTTCTGAAGTGTAAGCAAAAACTGTGCTACAGCTTTTGCTTTGAAGCTAGTCATGAGAACACTTCATTGTTTCAATTGATCTAAATTGTTGGAGCCCAACTTCTTAACCTAAACTTACAAAGACTTCACAACAGATGGTTTTCCTTGTAAGGATTAACATGTGAGACAGTAGAAGGTGGAATTGAGCAAGAAAAGGAAAATGCTGAATTTTTCTCCTGAACTTTTTTTTCCCCTAAAATGCTCTTAAAGCTAAAGAAAGATGGAGGAGATGTATTTAACTCCTCGTCAATTAAGATGAACCCAGGGGGAAAAACAATCACATCCCTCTTCTTTAGTTGCCTGTAACCATACCCTTATCAGAGTAGGATCTTCAAAAATTCAGGAATAACAATACAAAATGATCAAGAATATGTAATTTGATCTGTTGTAGAGTGAGGAGCACACCGCAGAATGTCTGAAGGAAAGTTTTTTAAAAGCAGAATAAGAGGTCATGCCATCTGAAGAATAACTGATTGAAAAAAGAGGAGTGAATCACTCATAGAGGCTTTTGCACGCATTGTCCTACTATTAGGATTTCTGGATTTGTTCCATCTAGGCTGTGATCATGTAATGAATGTGCACGTTGTTTTCAACTAGGCACAGTAAGTCCATTTTTTTCAGACAGCCTCCAAAACACTGCACTCATTTCTGCCTAGAAAACTTCGGACAAATAGGAAAATATTCTTTGAAAGTCCAGTACGATGTCAATGTTAATGATAGTGATAGAAAACCTGAAATTAGGGTGCGCCTGTCTGTGTCCATTTATGTGCTTGCATAGTTCCTGATGGAGACAACAAGCCTTTCTGAAAACCCGGAGAGCAGAGGCAATGGGTTGACTTGTCTGAGATTCAGTGGAATGGCTCAGCCACCATTAATTGTACAATAATGTAGAATTATGAGTGCCTAAGTGTAAACAGAAAAACCAACACTCTTGTTAGGGTGAAGTTAGTCAACAGATGGCATATAGACCACCAATAGTTTATAAAACATCAGCTGTCTAGTATAATTTCTACACATAAGTGTCCTTGACATTGATAAGTCAGTACATGCCACGTAGCAGAACTGGGAGCTGAATTTTTATAGATATCACATCATTAAAATGGTGAGAATTTTAAAAAAATGTTTGGTTATAAATAAAATCAGGACAGTTAGTATTTTTGGTAAGCAATATGCAAAAACACACAAGTTGGTCTGTAGGCTATTAAAAAGCTGCTTGATTCTTTGCTTAAGATTTGACAGTCATGACCACACATGTAGTAAAACTTAAGTTGTAGTTACCATCAAACACTGCCTCTTTACAGTTTTTGACCTAAGTATACTAAATCTCCCCTTTCAGGTCCTAAGAGTATCTGTGAAATGTTATGTCCTGGTGTATGCTGGAAGTGCTGCTCTAAGATTATAAGGAAATGTAAGAATCATAGAATTATAGAATGGTTTGGGTTGGAAGTGGACCTTGAATATCATCTAGTTCCAACCCCTCTGCCATGGGCAGAAACATCATCCACTAGACCAGGTTGTTCAGAGCTTCATCCAACCTGACCTTAAACACTTTCAGGGATGGGGTATACACAACTTCGCTGGGCAACCTGTCCCAGTGCCTCACCACCCTCACTGTAAAGAATTTGTTCCTAATATCTAATCTAAACCTATTCTTGGTAAAGTTTGAAACCATTCCCCTTTGTCCTGTCACTACATGCTCCTGTAAGCAGTCTCTCTCCATCATTCTTGTGGGCTCCTTTCAGGTACTGGAAGGCCACAATTAGTCACCTTGAAGCCTTCTCTTTTTCAGGCTAACAAGCACAATTCCCTCAGCCTGTCCTCATAGGAAGGGTGCTCCATCCCTCTGATCATCTTGGTGGCTCTACTCTGGAGTAGCTCCAGTAGGTCCATGTCTTTCCTGTGCTGAGGACTCCAGAGCTGGATGCAGCACTCCAAGTGGGGTCTCATCAGAGCAGAGGGGCAGAATCCCCTCCCTCAACCTGCTGCCCACACTGCTCTGGATGCAGCCCAGGATACAATTTTGGCTTTCTGGGCTGCAAGTGCACATTGCTGGCTCATGTCCAGCCTCTCATCACCCCAGCACCCCCAAGTCCTTCTTGGCAGGGCTGCTCTTGATCTGTTCATCCCCCAGCCTGTATTAATACTGACCAGCAGCACCTTGCACTTGGTCTTGTTAAACCTCAAGAGACTGCCACGGGCCCAGTTCTCAAGCTTGTATGTGGGAGGTCTTACCAGGAGAAGTATGGGGAAAATATTTTCAATTAGACTGGCAATATTTTACATAGGTGACAGGTAGGTCATCTGCAATCAGATACTAAAAAAAATTAGTTTTGCAGAAAAGTAGAAGAAACAATGAAGAGTTAAGGTTCCAAAAGCTGCCAGAACTCATACAATGAAACAAGAACTTGATTTTATAGCATAAGGAATTGGAGCACATAGGCTTAAAATTGTTCAAAACAACTTTTCAAAAAGACATGGATGCTTCCGTGGAAAAGATGGTAACAGCTGGAAAATGCCTCAGTACTAGTCTACAGATAAAAGAGATGCATAGAGTGCTTGAAGAATAATTTGAAATTGACAAATGTTGCTATAAAACAAGCATCATTTAGATCAGAAACCAGATAGCAACTCGGAGGTGGTACACATTATTAACTTTGATTGCCTTCCTTAACTCCTGCAAACTTAAAAGAAGCCTTGTCATCTTAAAAGCACAGCAGTACCTGGTATGGTCTCCTCTACTACTTACCATAAGTGCTTATACTGTGTTTTATAGATAGGAGTTCCCCCAAAGCCCACTGCAGAAAAATAACATTTGTAAGAAACAGTTCTTACAGGCTGGATAGACTGAAGTCCATGTGCATTTTCCTCTAAAGTGTTTTCCACGTGAAAGTCTTGTCCCCACACTATCTTTTACATTCTGTGTTTCTGTTAGTGATATGAATAGTGAAGCTTATGAACAACTACAAGAATAGAACTCCATTGCAAAGATCTAGTTGTTGTGTGAGTTTTGTAATTGGTTTGGATTTTTTGGGGTTTTTTTTGGTTGCTTTTTTCATAATTGAATTCTCTCTTAGTTCTAAGCAAGGAGACAACTCAGATTGGTGGCCCCAGGTCAGTATCATCTCCTCTCTCCCAGTTTGTTCAAAATGATGAGTTTCTAGTTTACTTCTCCTGAAAGCTTGTAAATATCAGTGATTTTTAAATCGAGCTTGCTCTGCTTTCTTTAATGGCTTGTAGAAATGCGGGAATCTTGGATTTTTTTGTTTTCTTAATTAAGTGGGCAGCAAACACTGCAGGAAAAGAACTCAAGCAGTATCAAGTCTGCAAATTCCTTTAGGGATGAAACATGAAGTGACATGTGACACTTCTCAGCCTGGATACAAAAGGCTAGGCACTGGGCAAGCTTCTTCCCTCACATGACACCTCTTTGACAGGAACAAAAGTTTTTGTGCATTGGCATACTGATTTTAGAGTGACCACTCAACCAGAGTAAGACACTACACAAAAAAAATAAAGGACATTTAAATGAAACACCACTTCTCTTTGGGCATTTATTTTACTGGGGTTTAAATATTTTTGAACAATTTGCTTACAGAAAATTAAATTCTTTTACATACATATATGTGCATCTTTTATATATATATACATATATGTCTTTTTATATATATATATATATAAAAGAAGTACAGAAATTAAACATTATTGGGTTTTAAAACTCCTAGTATACAATTTAAATAAACCCTAATTTGAATCTTGGCCTTAACGCTATTGATATTTCGCATGTCACAGCACCCCTAAAGTAACTTTCACATGATGAATATTTTTACTTTTCTTGCATTTACTATTCCAGTTGGTACAAAAACACTTGCAGGCTGACAAAAAACAAGACAAGCAAAGTAGAAGTTGAGGATGGAGAACAGAGCTATTGCCTTAATGACAGGCTTCTGAAGTAACCAAATTCACATATCTTTTCAATGTGCAGTGCTCTCCACATAGACAATGCATACCAAGTTTGTTTGTTTGTTTTAGCTTTCAAGCCTAAAATGATCAAGAAGAACCAGAGTAAGAAACTTAATTTCCTAATGTCAAAATATTAACTGTGGTATTTGATATCTAAGGTGGATAAATGTGAATTAAATCCTTGCTTTATTAGAGAGTCATAATGTCATTTTCCTATCTTTGTCTCTTTTAACTTACACATCAGTAAACATTGCATCCTGAACATTAGTGTGAACACCATGTATTGCCATAATCCTTATGAATGCTGCAAAGGATATGAGCATATTTGGCTCTTGGAAGATTTTCTGTACAGGCCACCTTTGTTGCTGATGAAGAGCTCAAATTACAACTAGATGATCTCAATCACTTTCACAGTGATGAAAGGCTCCTGTAGTGGTGTACATGGCTCAGGGCATCCATGTGTTAGAAAAAAACCCAAATCCAGTGCCTCTCACAACTGAGTAAATGGAGGGGACAGAGGAAGGGACAAACTTGAGTCATATGGCCTTCAAAATTGTTCAAATGAATCTTGACTCTTTAGTGCCCACTTAAAATTTGTACAGTATGCTGGATGAGCAACTAGTTGGAAACAGATAGTGCTTTATTTTCAATAACTGATGAACAGCTTTCTAAAGCTTTTTCCAGTGCTGCACAGCATATGAAAGTCTTACTTCAAATTCAGAAAACAAGTAATCTCAAGCACTTCTTGCTCTTCAGTCACTGAAAGCTCAAATTATGGAGATTTCTATTTTTTTCTTTACTCTTTATATTAACTCTTCCCATGCACTTATCAAATTTTCTTACATTCTTATGCAGTTGTTTTTTTTTTGTGCAGATATACAGTATTCTATTCCTACTCCCAGGTCAACTCACTGCTTGCTAGGGAACAGCAGCATTTGTCCCATTCGTGTTTTTTGCTAAGTGGATGGTGCTAGGCCAGCTAGAAAGGAATTCACGTTGCAACCATTTCTGCCAGTGGGATGCTAATTTGGAACTCTTTCCTGTGCCTGCTGCCTGAAAGAAAAACATTAAAAAAATAAAAAAATATTTTCAGTCAAACTCATCTTTTCCCTGTAAGAGAAATTAGGGCAGACGTAATTGCACAAAAGCTTTTTCATCAAGCTGTACAACTTCAGACAAATACAACCCTTGGGAACCTTGCAGATGACTTCCTCATCATCTGACTATGACAGACTAACAGAACCCCTAAGGGTTCCCTTAGGACCTGAGGCAGCTGCATGAAGCTGTGTCAGGGGAGGTTTAGGTTGGATATTAGGTGAAGTTTCTTCACCTAGAGGGTGGTTGGGCACTGGAACAGGCTCCCCATGGAAGTGGTCACAGCATCAAGTCTGAAGAGCTCAGGGAGCTCTCAGGCACATGATGTCATTCTTGGGGCGGTCCTGTGCAGGGCCAGGATGATCTTTGTGGGTCCCTTCCTACTCAGGGTGTTCTAGGAATATCTCAAACTTACCTTTGCTTTTAACACTTATCAGAGATTCAGGTGTTTAATACCTGAGGCTGAACTTCTGAGTTTCAAGTGTGTTAATAATTTACTATTTACCAAAAGCATTTGAGACGGGTTACTCAGCTTCATCAATTTGTGCAATTGCTAAGATTCCTGCCAGCTCTCTTCAACCTTACCTGGACGAAAACTTATACTGGCAGCTTAACATGAGGTGCAAGACGGTAGTGGGACGCATCTTAACCAACATCCAACTGTGCTCTCCGTCATGAGCTGCTTGCTTATTTTATGTTCATTGAACCGGCCCACAGCACAGAACATTTTGAAGTGCCCCGGTGATCACTGAGGAAAAAATATCCACAACGCAGACAGCAGTGTAAAGGATGCCTTTTGAAGGAACCTTTCTGAAGAATTTGCGTGCCCCTTTTTCCCTTTCCCTTGGAGCCGTTAGCCAGGCTCCTTCTGAGCTCCGGGC